TGATCTATGCATTTTGTTCCAACTTTTTTTTTCTTTTTTTTTTTGTTTCCCCCCCCAAATTTTTTAAAAACACTAGAAATGAATACAAAAATAAGAATCCAATAATTTAGATCTAATATTATAGCTATCAGTTGGAAATGCTATGCCAGTCAACTCATTTGGTTTATTAAAAGATAAAGCTGAAAGAATCATTCGAACATTAAAATTCAGAATTTCGCATTTATCTCACAGGTAATAACTAGTACCATAGATAAAAAACTTGATTCTTCCTTGTGTGGATCAGTAAGTGTGCCATATGAAACTATGTCTTTAACCTGATGCTAAGGTTAAAAGCTTTGCATCATACACTATAGTTAGTGATATTAAAAATTCAGTAGAGAAAACGTCCTTTCCAAAAATTGTGAAAACTTTGGTTGTTGTTCATTTACTCTCATACAGTTATCTTACAAGGTTGTAAACACGTAACTAATGTTTCCCAGCATTATTCATATTTTGAGTCTTATGTACTTTCCAATTATTTTGTTAACAAAGTTTATATTCTTTTGCCAGAATAGATGTAATTTTTATACAGTTATAAACAAATAAACGCATATTAAACTTATGCACTTGGAGGAAACTGTAAACGTATACTCTTATTTCTCAAGTTTAGAAAGGTTTTCATGTATTACAAAATGACATAATTTCTAAGTTCTTTCAAATGTATTTTCATTTCCAGTTGCAAAAAGTTAAGAAAATAAGCATACTAAAGGCATGAAAATATTGGACACTATAAACGTACCCACACTACTGATTAATAAGGGATTTGTTAAAAACACCACAAAAATACTAACCGATACACCACTGTGAAGTGAAGAATATTATAAAATATGCTTCCAGAACATCATAAAATAACTTCAATAAGTGAAATAGCCAAAAACATCATCTTATTAAATGCTAGTTATATTATTGTAATGCATGAAAAATTATCAGTCATCACTCCTGCTTAGGCAGTCCTCACATTTTAAGTAAAAATATAACTTCGTATTTGATTAATAAGCAATGTGTATAATTTTTGTTCTAAACTTTTAAGTTATCTAAAACAAAAAAAATCACACCTTCAGAGGTTTGCAGTTTTCTCGGACATATCTACCAGCTGCACTTTTGTCGTCCCAATCAAGTCTTCCATGGTAGAAGTACTTGGTTCTAAAAAAAGTTTCAATGATTAGTTTTATAAACAAGTTTACAAAATTCGCTATTTTTTACAGGATCACTGAAATACGAAAATTATTTCCCTATGTGTTAATTCATCATAAATTAGTTAACTGCAATACACATTTACATCACATCCATTCTCAGTTGTGATAGAAGATGTTTCCTAACAGAGTTTAGATCTAAAAGCCTTACAGTACTTTATTTTATACATCACAAATGATTTTCATCAGAACATAACTGTATGTCTAGGTTATCTGAAATGTTAGGACAGGCTAAGAAAAATATGTTCTAAGTTCTTGTCCCACTACTGTCAATGGATACAAAGCAATTTTTACAAATCGATTTAGTGTTGAATTTGTATAAAACGAATAAATTATAAATTAGTTATATTATTACCTGTAAATAAAAAAATCAAAACCTCATTTCCATCAATTCATTTATTATTGCTCAAAAAGTTATATTTTATATATCTAACTATTTTTAACTTGTTTTATAATTATTAGCATATTTCTCTTCCTGATCTTTATTTTGTACATTTTTTACTAAAAAAAAAAGCACTCAAAAACCAAATAAGAACAATATAAGTTTCATACAATTAATAATGACTTACTAATTGATATCATCTTGCAATGTACTATAGGACATTATGCTTACAGCTGCAAAGTATTATTACCTGACTTCTTGGAGTAGAGAAACATTTCTGTAGCTTTTCAAAGGAAATAATGTAACAAAAATCTACTATCAGCAATAAAAAAAAAGTCAGGAGAAATTATACAAAATTCCTAGGTTCTTCTGACTTAAAAATATTTTTAAAATCACTGTATTCAACCTTCAAATGTTGTTTCAGTACACTACCTCTTGAATAAATGTCAAACTTCCCTTATGAATGATTGACAAGTTGTTTATATCTTTTGAAATTTATCCCCTCCCCTACACAATGCTTTTAAAAGGTTGATTGTACCCGGAGTCAAATTAACTTTTCAAATTTATTCATCCCCATTCAATTTTTACCCATCCAGTATGGGTGGCTGGACAATTTTCACACCTTAACACAGTATACAGTATCTGTGTTTTGGATAAAAAATATAAATTCAATCTATCAGTATTTCCTTTTTACACATATACATCATTTTCCTATGAAAAAAATTCAGTGTAATTGAAAATTATCAAATATTTTTGCTACTATATAGTGATTTTTAAAGTACTTATTATCAAGTCTATAAATATATTTAAAGTTCACACCTTTAGAATTACTCTTATGACTAGAAATTCTGCAGCTGTAATACTTATTTGCGCAATAGATCCAAGCACGTTATTTTTCAAATCAATTAGGAATTTTTGTTAGCTACAGATGAAGTTATAGAAAACTTTATTAGATTACCTTTAGCGATTAAACATATTTCTACAATGCCATCTAGTGATAGAATATATATTTACTTTGTTTTCCGGCACATGCGATATGGGAGTGGTCCAAGTATTCTCTCCATCATTGCTAGATGTTCTTGGTTGTCATGAGTCTAGGAATTTGATTTGATTTTAAGTTATGATTCAACATAAATATATTGATGACTCAACAAACATTTCAAATCTAATTTACTGAATCTAAATACAAATGTACAAGTTTGGAACTACTAGTATTTCCTTGTAAGTATATACTTTAGTTAGCTTAATGTTACAAGATGCACCACTGACATCATGGAAAAATGCTGCAAAATCGTTATATTTCCACGTTATATTGGTTAGTTATGGTAATATTATGACTACAGTATAGCAAAATTTGTGGCAATTTTAATTTTTTATTTTTTGATAAAAATATAGGTTTATGGTGAAAGTTATTGTTTTTAAAGCAGAAATAAAGGAAATAAAAACGGGTTTTAATAGGTTTTTACTACAGGGTAGGCATATTGTAAAGGTGGAGCTTAGAAATAACATGGTGGTGTATGTGTTTTGCATCATCCTGTACATAAAGTTTCTAGAACAAATTCTCTACTTTCAACTAATAATAAAACCAGGCAGGTCATTGAGTATTAACAAGGGTAAAGATGGAGTAAATTTATGACAACAATCTACCTGAAACAGGGTAATTCCCAAATAGAGTTCAAACAGGATACAGCCCATGCTCCAGACATCACAAGGCTGAGCCCAACCTAATTCTGAATAAAATACGTAATTAAAAGTATTTCAAGATGTAACACACTTTTGGCAAACAAATTTAAAGAACATCTGTTTTGTTCTGTTTTAGAATTATTACTATTTTTCCCTGTATAACAGAAATGTTTCAGTTTATAAGATACTCGTTCATTAAACATACTGAACTTGAGAGAAAAACTTGGTGAACATTATGGCCAAACAACTTAAATTGGGCTCAATTGAGAGACACTCGCTTGGGGGAACTGCATATATTTTTCTTCTTAAAATTTTATAAACCTTTTTATGTTTCAGATTTTGACCACAATTTTTTGCTGTGCCATTAATATTCCCACTGAACTTTTTATTTTGATAAATATTTTACGAAACACCATCAGAATGAGACATTAATAAACGTATTAAGGTTTCCGAAATAATGTACAGTACACCACCGATTTTCCGGCAACTGATGGTCCGGCACCTCCTTTAATCCGGACAAAATTACGAGAGCGCACTTGAAATTCCCGGGATCGCCAGACTACTTTACAGGGCGGCCACAGATGGCATTGCGTGTGTCGCGCGCTCTTTCGGGACGGGCTACTTACGTTTGAAGTAGGTACGTCACTCTCGTGAAACGTTTCTTATAAGTATCAAACTATAGAATCAAATTGTTTGAATTTTTTCATGAATGTTGCCAAGAATATATAGTTTAACAAGATACAAATATTTAGTTTAGATTTTTTCTTCGATTTTTTACAACACAGAATGTTGATAATAGTGTATGAAAATTCAAAATGTAACGTACTTTAAAATAACCATAATAATAACAGAAAAATTCTAAAATTTAACACTTTGGAAGCGATACTACTACAACATTCTTTGTAAGTACAGTAATTAATAAACCTTTTTCATTTATACTGTACTAATAAACCTGTATCATTTATACCTGTACTAATGTATATCATTAATAATTAATTCACATTCAATATTTATTTTATTTAAGTTTCTAGCAGTCCATGGTGCTTTAGAGACACGGGAGGGGTATAGTTAGTGGGTCAGAGGTGTATTGTTGAATTATTATTACGTGACTTCTGTTGGTCCGGCAAAACGGATAATCCGGCAAGGCTCTGGATCCAAGGGTGCCGGAAAATCGTTAGTGTACCTTATATACTATTTTTGAATAATATCTTGTATTCATGCCAATTTTCAAGTAACTCTGTACATACAGTCTTAAGAGCCACATAAAACCCCTTTGACTCCCGTATTTTACGAAACAACATCACAATAAGACATTAATAAACCTTTCAAAGTGTCCAAAATAATGTATATACTATTTTCAATAATCCCTTGTACTCATGCCAATTTTCAAGTAACTCTGTAGATACAGTCTAAAGAGCCATATAAAACCCCTTTGACTCCCTTTATGGGAAGTTCAAATTTAAAACCACCAAAGGCTGAATTTTGATTATTATTCTCAATGACCCCTTACATGTTAACACCAATTTTCGAGTAACTTTGTTCAGTCAGGTCTTAGATACTTAGATGCTTAAGGAGTTCTAAAATAAACAAAGACATACGTGTATAAATGAGAACGACTAAGATTTGCTCTAAAGATTAAGTTCGTGTTCTTATCTCTTTCACTGCCATGATTATAGATAAACGAAGCTCCTCCTGGCACTTTTATAGGTAAATATATCTCTTAGTGCCACGTTTATAGGTAAACAGATTTCTTTGTTTTATTTTTAGATACATAACTGACACAAAATACACATCTTAATATTTCACTATTTATCCAAAACTGGTAAACTATGGGACATTTGAAGGAGGGGATGTCCTTTCTTTATGGTACAAAGTTCAAAAATTCATGTGGCAGTGTTCTAGAGGGGAACGTGTATGTATCCATGGCATTGAAAAATTTTCTTGCTAAACAGCAAAGTTAAAGGTTAAAAGTTACCAAGGATTACTTCTGGGGCACGATAATGCCTGGTTGAAACCACGGTGCTATGATGCTCGTGATCGAATGTAGCTGACCCAAAATCAATCAGTTTGATGCGGGTGTCTCGTACTCGACGTATCTCTCGTTTCTGTCATAAACCAATGACATAACGTAACACTAAGACATTAATATAAAAAAACTGCTGATTAATTAAAACATGTATAAAAAGTGCTTCTGAAATATTTAATGCATTCATTACACATTGCACGTATTGTCTGATAAGTAACAAAAGAAACACCATGGTAAATCATGAAAATATATTTAATGTTGAAATGTTTTCGGATTTACTAATTTCATCATCCGAGATCTGCAATAACTTGTATTATGAATATGTAATATATAGAAATTAGCAAATATCACAATATACTATTACTGATCAAAAGATAAATTGTACAGAAAGAAAGAAAAATGGAACTGAGATATGTATAGAACTTACAAAGGTTAACAGAATTACCACAACTGTTATATCTAAAACTAGTATTAAAGCCCGTCTAAAATAACAAGAAATCAAAGTCAACCAAATTTGTAAGTTTGTTGCTCTTAAACAGACATAAGAAAAATAAAGGGCCTTCTAGCTTCGGGAAACCAAAGTCTATCATGAGTAATATCTACTTTACCTAAAGAGTGTCTATTCCCAGCATTCATTGATCACAGTTATTTTCTAATCACATCATTTGCAATAGTTCTCTTAAAACCACATTTCTTATAAATACTTGATCATCGTTCAGAAACTTCCCTTCATAACAAACGGCAAATTAATTTCACTCGATGATAAATAAATCCTTGGTATAAAAACTACATTCTTGACAGGCTTTTATATAGTAGAGTCTTAAAATTTATAGAAATATAAGATGCTTTATTTCTACTACAAGGCTATTTTTATATGTCTAAAGACTAGAGGTGACTACTATCCCACAACTGGCTGCAGAGAGCGAAAGGTAGTAGGAGTTGAGACGTTGTGGATTTAAGCACTCAACTCCTAACCACTAATTGAACCTATATGGCTGCTAACTAGTTCAACATCTGAGTTTGAATCATATCTAATAGATGGAATATCTCCAGAGCTTTGGGAGCTATGATCACCGGCATTTTTCATTATGACTTAATGGTAATGGACAATTTTTTTAGGTCTCATTGTAGAATTTTATACTTTTATTTGTAATAATTTCATTATTGTTATATAGTGCTAATATGATCGCCAATTTACAGTTAAGGTAATCTATAGTACTAGAACAATTTATATATATATATATATATATACACACAAACGTGCACTTAAGCTATACAACATGCTCCACAATGAATGATCTCATACTATAATAGTTGGACTTAATAACCTGAAAAGCAAAAACAAAACATACTTTTTTCGTATGGTAGCTGACATCATAGTCTGAATTTAGAAATAAAATGTTTTCTGGCTTCAAATCTGTATGAGTGAGTCTGTTGTCGTGCAAGACTGTAAATAATTCATATAAAATTATATAAACAAAACAATTGATTATTTAATTCAACATTTAAAGGTTTGTGTTAGGAGATAAATATGGCATAATTTAATGAACATTTGCAATTAAATCGTATAAAATACCTTAAGAAAACATTCTACTAAAGAGGACTTGACAAAGAAAAATAAGAAAAGAAATGCGGATAGAAACAACCACATTTGAATTAAAAACACTGTAACCTGATTTTTTAAATTCGTGAAATAAATTGAATGTATTACAAAACAAAAGAAAATAAGGCTAAATGCATTCATTTATTTATTCGCTTATAATAAACAGGAGAAAATATTAACCTGGAAATCACTAAATTCTTACATTTGACAGCATAGCACATTTGGTAACTGATATGTTGGACTTGTTCCATTGGATAAGGTTGGTAGTTGTTCTCTTTCTGTAAAAGCATAGAAAACAATTCTGTATGAATTCAGACAAAAACAACAACTGATTTTTATAGGTTTTTCAAACAAGACCCAAAACTCTAACGCTTTCGAATAGTTAACTATTCTTCTTCAGGACCTTTTATTCTTCTGAAGAAGAATAGCGAACCTTTCGAAAGCGCTCTAGCTTTGAGTCTCGTTTGAAAACCATTACAACTTTTACATGTGATCCTGTATGCTAACTTCTTAATCTTATTTTTATATATTCTCCATCCCACAAAGCATTGAACTCTCCTTCCCTGGTCTGCTTTCCCTCTTTTTACTTTATATCTGGAACATTTTATATCTTCTTAATACTCATATAAAACTACTTTTATTTTGTGAAGTTTTCCTCTTCCAAAAATTCAATGTACAAAACAAAACATATAGGGCTCAGTTTGCCATTTAAAGAGTTTCCCGATGTACTCAGTTTTTTATATATATATTAATGAAACAAGCTATTATTTAATACTAATAACATAATGAAAGTTGTATTTAGATTACTGTTTTTGCAGTTATAAAATATTATGAGTTATTAATTTATATTACATTTGTAGTTAAGGTATTGTTTATTATTTATGTAATTTCCTTCTGACGTTTAGTTCAACTATTTGTTTAGTTGCATTAAAAACACTAGCTCACCTGCCTCCTAATGTATATCAAATATTAAATGAGTCATTTTTTATTAAGAAGCTGACAGAAAGTTCTCCTATTAGTGATGTATCGATACTTAATTAATGTGTGGTTATATAAAACCAATGTTGATTTATTAGTCATGTGATATTTCATATTGTGGTCTTGTAAAGAAATAAAAGTGAAGCCTGTTTTTTAAAATAAGCAACATTTGCAAGAGCAGTTAGACTAAATGATACGGAAGTTATATTTGTGGATTATTTAAGGCAATAAATTTACTGCAAATATTCGCTTGGCTACTATTAGAGCTAATTTTGAGATTGTTTAATATTGTTAATAACTATTCCTTGTAATCTTATGTATTAGATTGCTTCTTCTTATTTTTGTTCTAATTTGTTGTTATACTGTGTGTTTTGATATTGACAACTTAGCGTTTTCCTTCTGAATATTTTTACATTTAAAATATTTGGTTACCAAAAGATTTTGTCAGTTACTGTAGTCTAGTTTCTACAATTTGTATAATTTATGCTGTGATTTTATAAATTTGTAATTTTTATCTTACTCTGGAAGAAACATTGTTGTTTGATACATTATATTTTAAAGCAAAAAATGACATAATTTTAATTGTTTTATCTACTGAAATGAATAAAATTAAATGCCTGTAAAGAACTTCTACGAAAAAGAGTAACGGATTATAAATATACTACCCCTAAAAATTCAAAGGGAAAAATCCTTATAATAAAACTGATCTTTAACCAAATAAACAACAGAGCAGAAATTCTATTCTGGGAGACCCACTTGTTTGATTAATACAGTTAACGATGTACTTCAAATCCAAAGTGATACAGCCGAATCTGCTTGTATGGAGCAGTTACCTTTAACATTAATGGACACTCTGCAATAAGTAAGGGTCTTTCCATCACATTGTTATAGTCACAACAGCCACGGGAAATACTTTTGATCAGTTAGTAGGCAACATTATGGTGGATCCTGTTCCACTCCTCAGTTAGTACAATGCCAAGCTCTCAATATTATGTGGTGGGTTAAGGATTTGATGTATATAACTTCACAGGAGGTCCAAGATTTTAACTGATTAATAACCAATATATAAACTCTAGGGTTTCATCTTCATACAAATCATATCTCAATCTTGACAGCATGACATCAGTCACTGCCTTGCATCAGAGGAAAGTTTGATTCAACTGGCCTAACTAAAAGTTATGGAATAGGTCGAATACCACATTGTATGTTGTCAAGTAATTCGTCCTCTCCTTCAAAGCACACCGAGTATAACTGAGCCACAATCAAAACCGTCATACTGAATATTGTTAAATCATGTTAATCCCCTGTGGTTTTCCAACTACAAGTCCATCAGTTGAATCATCTGTGAACTATAAAGACACCTAAATACCATTGACGCAATTTCTTAAAGTCCAAATTAATTTAGTAGTCAATTGCGGGATTGAAACAAATCTTATCACCTTAAAGCCTGACTTATTAGATCTGTTCTTAACAATTTAACGTTTGAATTTAATCTATTTGCTGCTTTGCACTCTATGCTGAGGCTACAAATAGATGAATAACGATCTGTAGCAGGTATATTGTGCAGATAGCAATAATTACATAACGTAAAAGCCTCCCCCGACCTTGTTAAAGCTGTCTAGCATAAAGTATAGATATCTGATAGTATTCATAATTATAACCCTGGATAAAAAAAATTACAAAGCCATTTGCATCTGTGTTTTTAGGGTTTTTTTAGAATTAAACATCTTTAAGAGTCTACCCTTCTGTCAAAAACCTTCACCTCCCACTAGCTTATAACATTGTCACAGAATTATGTGGACACAATAACCGGTATTAAGTAGTCGCCTAAAAAAAATTATAAAATTTAAAAATGAATGAGGGCGGGTAATATGTGAAAAACATCCGAACTAGTGATGCATTCTTACAATATAACAACGTAAAATGTTACATAACTAATGACATATCGGTATTTAGTATGTCACTAAGGTGTAATTTTCCAGACCTATTTAATGTTAGCCCTTCTTTTTAGGTGTAGAGTACAAGCACACATACACACAAAAAGAGATTGGTATCAAAATAAACCAAAACATTAATGTTATATTATAATTGTAAACCTAATACAACAGTCATAAATAACATGAAAAAATTCAGGGTTGTAATTCATAACTATTGTCTTTAAATTAACAATCGCAAAATAACTTTTTAAAATTTGAATAAGCATAAGATGGAACCAGATCTTTTTATTTGCCAAAAACGAAAATGAGTTAAAAAATGTAAGTATTTCCTAAGAATAAATATGTAATTCCAGCACACTAAATAAACTCAAATAAACATTCGATAACTGATTTTAGGGGCGATTGCGCCGAACCCCCGGATCGAAGAGACCCCGACAAATGAAAAACACAAGAGAATCCTCAATAGCTGCGGCACTTGAAATTCTTTTAGGCAGGAATACGGTTTGTTTGTTTATAATTAAGTACAAAGCTACACAATGGGCTATCTGTGCCCTGCTCACCACGAGTATCGAAACCCGGATTCTAGCGTTGTAAGTCCGCAGACATGCCGCTGTGTCATTGGGGGGCCAGGAATATAGTAAATTAATTTATGAGACCTTTTGTTTTATCCTTTTTATTAGCTATATATTTGTGCGCCAGAATTATCAAGCGTGAGGCGCGCGTATACATGATTTCATTTTATTACACATCAGGGGCCCGGCATGGCGATGTGGTTAGGGCGCTTGACTTGCAATCTGAGGGTTTAAATCCCCCGTCCCACCAAACATGCTCGCCCTTTCAGCCGTGGGGGTTATAATGTGACGGTCAGTCCCGGTATTCGTTGGTAAAAGAGTAGCCCAAGAGTTGGCGTTGGGTGGTGATGACTAGCTGCCTTACCTCTAAACTTTCACTGCTAATTTATGGACAGCTAGCGCAAATAGCCCTCGTGTAGCTTTGCGTGAAATTCAAAACAAACAAACAAACATACTCATCAGGATTTCTACCAACCTACCCTCAAATTGAAATTCTTTTGGGCAGGATTGGAATAACTTAAGAATTTGGACGTGCTCAAATGCATCAATCGAAAGTGTTTGACCTCCTTAATCTAAAACTGTAATTAGATCACAAATTGGTCAAAATATGACGGAGCTATGAGTTAAAAATTTGTACTTGGAAAAAACTCAGAACCATTTTATGAGCCACTATGGTGTGGCTAATAAAAAGTAATCAAAAACTAGACGTCTCATTGAAAACAATATGTTTACAACTGTGTCACTATGACAACAGCATTTTTAATCCTTTAATATAAACCTATTATTTTATAATTTTCATTAAATGTTCTTACATCTTGTTCTTTCATAATTATTTGTTCTGCCATTTAAGAAAAAAAAATTCGTTGTCATTGCTTTGTATTTATTATAAATATTAGAACTAGTATTTTGTATATTATCTACTCATCACATGTGTTTGTGTATTGGTCGAACTGAGTTAATAAAGAGTGTATAATTGTATTTGACTTATTTATGAAGCTCAGTTCTGAGGGTCCCCTCTACAAAATGTGCCCTGGGTTCCGAAGTCCTTAATCTGGACAATTGCTAATAAAATGCTTATTCGTTTAATCTCTTTAAAGATACAAAATTTAAAATATCTGAAACTATTATTTTTCTTATTAATTTGAATGACTTGCTTTACTTAGGGGGAATATATATTTTTCAAGAATAAAATAAGCTGAAAACTAAGACATTCTGAAATATTGTACATGCAATATTTACCTGAAAGTCAAACACGCTAAGTCCTAGCATTTCAAATGTTATACACATGTGTCCATGGTAGTCAAACCAATCCAGCATGATGACCCATAACCTATAAGTAGATTTGTGATGCACAGTCACTAAGAAAACGATGGACATAATATCTGATAACTCATTGATATTGGGATACAAAACAAATATAAACAAGCCAAGAAAAGCAAATTAACAGATTATTGATCTTAAAATATATAACCTACAAGAAGTTGAAAAAATAAAAATAAAGAGATCAAAAACAAATAGAAAAATTAGAATAACACAATAAAACAATATATTATTAGATGAAACAAATTACATATAACTTCAACGATGAAACACAATACGAGAGAACTAAAAATGATCATTAGATTTAGCATAAGCCACCTTAAAAGACATCAAAATCAATAGGTAAGTATTTGTAATCACTTAAAACTACTTGAAAGACAATTATGTTTATGGAATAAGAAAAAACATTTAGTAGGCAACAAAAATAAAACTGTAGTCTAAAACTTTATTAAAAAGAACATTTGTAAAAATCAAAATTACTCAAATGAAAAGTGAATTTATGACAATGATGAAACTAATTTTCCAAAAACAAAATTTTTAAAATATAATTATAAAAAAATAGAGGCAACAATTCTATACTGTTAAGTTGTGTTTGTTCTGTGTAATACAGAGCTGAGTAATTATATATTAAAACGATTTTGAAGCCTCACCACGTCGCTAAAGTTCAAGTCACAACACCTGGTTCTGCTATATCTGACGACCATGTATCCTAACAATAGATCTGAAGCATAACTTTCATTGTAAAAGGCTCTGTGGTAAAACTGACATGTCCAAAGCACTCCACTCCTCTGTATTGGCCTTTCAATCATCCATCTAGTGTAGGAAGAAAACGATACTTTAGCGCCAATTCTAGTAGTCCGATCTCACAGAAGTTCATAGATGCTGCATGTCTTGGTATGGAATAACTTGAATATCCTTTCATTATCCAGCTACTTTAGGTATGCATACGATTAAATCGGTATATCATGAAAGCAGCTTCTGTACATGTGAGTTGTGTCCCTTTTCTAGACAAAGGTCCTTTTTGATTATGTTGCACCCTGTTGCTTCCAACACGCTAACGACTTTTGTTGCTTTTTTGATCGTGGATTATCACCTGCTACAAGATGCTGCACTTTGCTTAAAGCGGCTGGGGTATGACGTGTTGCGGATTTCTTTATATTATTTCGTTTTCCAATGCCATAACGTAAAAACCTCTTGGAATGTCTAAATCCACAATCGGAATACATCTTTATTATCTTAGTTTATAAATATTTTGCGTCGGAAAAGGTTGTTGCATACTCTTCCCAAAAGAACCAGTTTACGGTGATATCACAGTACTTAACCAAGGCCAAACAATGTCAAAATTTAGTTGTGATACATTTTGAGTTACCGCGAATTTGCATTGGCTGTGATGGTCACGTGACTTGCTATTCAAAATCGTTTTCGTATAACGTACTAAATACCCTATATTATAATACAAATAATATAAAATGCATGCTAAACTGTTTAAAGCACCAGTAACAGTGATTAGAATATTGCTTCAAAACATTAACTCTTTAGTCCTATCAAATTTGAAACAGATGAACAAATATAAAAAAAAATTCTAAAGGTGTAACAACATAGCTATATTTTATGACATCACAAAGTCAAGCTTAATTGTACTTAGAGTATCTATGTGGCTTGGTTAGAACCAACCTTCTACTTTCAGGGTCAGCTTCTGCTAATTTCTCAAGCACGTTGATTTCCAGTTTTGCAGCCTCTCTGTACTTCTCTACATTTTTTATAATCTTCAAAGCTACTGCTTTCTCACTGAAAGATTTTAAAAATGTATAAACTGCCTCCAAAGTCATTTGCGGTGCCCTTATAATTATTTTTCTAACTTCAACCTAAGTTATTAATCTTAACTGTATTTTCATTTCTATAGCTTTAACTAAAAAAATAGCATAAAACATCACATTGTTCTTTTTTAATTTTTTTGTGCCCCTCTGATGGCTCAGCGGTAAGTCTTGGGGCTTATAACGCTAAAGATAGAGTTTCGATAATCGGGTTGGTAACAGTTTTGCTGCCTGTTCTCGCCCCCCCCCCAGTGGCACAGCGGTATGTCTGCGGACTTACAACGCTAGAAACCGCGTTTCGATACCCGTGGTGGGCAGAGCACAGATAGCCCCTTTTGTAGCTTTTTTCCTTAAAACAAACAAACAAAGCCCGTTCTCGGACGACTGTAGTATAGTAAAGTGTGGTGTGAAAGAAATGAACAATGTACATTGCCGAGCCTTTGATGTCTAGATGGTGATTATTATGTCATCTTTGATCAATACTGCGCTCATGTGTTGAAATACACTCCTTTCCCCCTCACATATACAAATATTGAAAATAAATGTATTGAAAGCAATATCACATACTTTCTCCACATATGAAAAACATATCATACTAAAATGTATGAAATTCCCCCACAATGTTTGCATTACAGTTTTTCTTTTTCTGAAGATAGATCTTACTTGTTTTCATTGGCCAACCTTTACTGTTTGCTTCTTATGGCTAAGTATGTGTGGTAACATTAATGATAGACTGTTTAATTTTTCTGGTGGTATATTCGGTCTATAGAATTTTAATTTGTTAAAAAAACACTTATTAATTCAATTCCGTCATGATCAGAAATTGATTAATAACCTAGAGTGTACTTCACTTCCAAAAGTATAAAAAATTATTAATTCAGTTCCGTCATGATCAGAAATTGATTAATAACCTAGAGTGTACTTCACTTCCAAAAGTATAAAAATTTATTAATTCAGTTCCGTCATGATCAGAAATTGTTTAATAACCTAGAGTGTATTTCACTACCAAAAGTATAAAATAAAACTTATTAATTCAGTTCCGTCATGATCAGAAATTGATTAATAACCTAGAGTGTATTTCACTACCAAAAGTATAAAATAAAATTTATTAATTCAGTTCCGTCACAATCAGAAATTGATTAATAACCTAGAGTGTATTTCACTACCAAAAGTATAAAATAAAACTTATTATTTCAGTTCCGTCACGTTCAGAAATTGTTTAATAACCTAGAATATACTTCACTATCAAACTATCGCGAAAACACTCCGTTCTTTGGGGCTGTAAGTGCTATAACAGTGGCGATGAAATCCTAATATTCGATCAGAAAAGAGCAGCTCAAGAGTTGGCAGTGGGTTGTGTTGACTAGCTGCCTTTTTTGTATCTATCACTTCAAAATTAGGGACAGTCATGCGAAAAAGTCTGCTTGTGTAGCTTTATGCGAAACTTGTGAAACAAACAAACCTGGATGTTTGTTTATGTTGTTGTTTGAATGCTTTCCCATTTCGTACATCTATTGGAAAGAAATAGTTTATATATTCCTGGCCACTGCGTCAACCGCGAGGTTTGTATGGTGAATGAATGTTTTGGAGAAAAATATAAAAGCTTTTCTGTTGCCTCCATTTATTTGAAATATATAGCTAGTTGCGTTGCAAAAAGGTATATTTACGTGGTTACAAACTTGTGTCTTAAATGTAATCTAGTTGCATGAAAGTATGGGAACATTCGCATCATTTATTCGTTATTAATAACTATCACTTTTAAGCGTTAATTTTAAATCACAATAAACATTTTGGGTACAGGGTCCTTTCAGATTCTATTTTAAACTGTTCGTATTTCTGTACGTATTTCATGACTGGTTTTCCATTTTATTACATGTTCAAATCAGTTTTTAGAGAAATATATTAGACTGATAAGATTTATGCAATTAAGCCATGCTAATACTATAGAACTTGGCTAGATATAATCGTTAAGAATTAAAACTGTTTTACCCATCAGTTAACTTTCTATGTTTATCTTACGGTACTGATGATATGTGTACTTACTTTTGATACTTTCCACCTCACCGTTAAGAAATGTTATCAAAGCTTATTCTTAATTCAATCCCCCATCCCACACACTAGTTTTATAAATGAACGGTCTGTTTAAAAATACATTTAATATGATGAATACGTGTGACAACTACCGTATTACCCCTAATTAACGCCCCGGGGGCATTGCAAACTGCAAAGGGGGCTAATTAGAGTATTTGTGCAATTCCTGATTCTATTTTTTCACTTGTGATTTATTGATTTCAATGATAATAAGTGTATTTATGTGTTTGTTTTTATTCTCTTTTTTTTTTTTCAACTCAAAATTACGGTAATAGAAGTATATCATATGTTGGATTACTACTGCTGTCACCCAAGGTAAGCTTTATAAAAATACCGGGGGGCGTTAATTAGGAGCAATACGGTATTTTATTCTTCGCCTTATAAGCCTACATATGTTGGATTACTACTGCTGTCACCCAAGGTAAGCTTTATAAAAATACCGGGGGGCGTTAATTAGGAGCAATACGGTATTTTATTCTTCGCCTTATAAGCCTACATATGTTGGATTACTACTGCTGTCACCCAAGGTAAGCTTTCTAAAAATACCGGGGGGCGTTAATTAGGAGCAATACGGTATTTTATTATTCGCCTTATAAGCCTAACCTTTATATGGTATAGTTTGGTTGTTGAACCATTAATACTTTTATCTGAGAGAGTATGTACGTGTTGACATTCTTCCGTAAAAATAATTTTTGTTTTTTGGTAAAGTTTTTAAAAGTTTTCAGGCTTTTTTTCGAAACTGAGTACATGTCTTTACGAAAATCATAGAAGATGTACCCTTAGAAGTCTGAGGATAGTTAGTAAGTTATATATTGATAGTTTAGAGTCCATATAATATGATTATTACACAAGAATAAAACGACTTCAGTTAATGTAACTTTTACGTTACTTTGCTATATATAGATGTAAGCTTAACAACAAACCATGAATGATAGACGTAGGACACAACAGTTATTTCTGTCTCTTGTGGGGGTATATAAGAATCCTTGTGTCACATGACACTGAAGACATTTGGGCGAAAACAGTCACTTGTGTTGGCAAGACACCGAGTGACGTGTCGATCTGGGAGTTTTATTTTTATGTTATTTTTTTCTAGACAATTGTTAGTTAATTTAGTTATATTTAAAATTCGCTTTCAAGAATATGCTCGTATATAGTACAATAATAAGTGAGTTAAATATGGTTTAATAATTAATGTGTTGAGTAGCCCTATTTTCGTTGCTTTATTCGTTAGTAATTAGACGAGATAAGAGGCGATACTCCCGAAACCAGTAGGTTGTTTCGTAATATCCTGTCTCTCACCACAGGTAAACAAAAAAGAGTATTAATAAACTACGTAAAGCCAGGTTGGTTATCGCCATATTCTTCGAAATTAACATCGGCAATGTTTCTGAACAGTAAAATACTTACTTGAAGTAATGGACGTTATATCTAGCGAAAGTTTTTACGTGGTTTATCCTGGTTTGTTGGAATTGTTCCATGTATACTGGAATAAGATGTAGAAGAAAAAAACGGGATCCATTTTCCAGTAGCGATGCCAAACAACATAAGTTGCTATTTTTGTCTAATGCAACCGTTTCCAAAGGATTGCATATGGATGTTGAACCAGCAAGAAGTGATTACCTAAAAGTCTAGAATTTTTATTCGGCGAACTAATAAAATGCCACACTTTGTAATCGTGCTAAAGAAAACACCAGCACTATACATAAAATAGTGTAAATAATCTGATTATCATACAGAAATGAAAGGGTACTTTCAAATCACAGAGACACCTTTGTTATGTTAATAGATTTTTTTTCGTTTATTAGGCCTATTGAAACAATACGGAAGTTTTCCTATTGCTCTGCCCACCATGAGTATCGAAACCTGGTTTCTAGTGTTGTAAGTCCGCAGACATACCGCTTTGCTACGGGGGGGGGGGGGCATTCTTGTGAAAGCATGGCATGTATATTGTTTATTTCACAGTTTGTAATATTACAAGTTTGGAGACACGTACTCACAGAATATTATTTGGGATTGATGTACTATACTGAAACTTAGACTTAGGCCAATATATAGAAATAATTAGTCTATTTTATCAGTTACAAAGTTATAGGCCGATATCAAGTTGTCTTGCCCGAGCCATAAAACTCGCTTGCTGGAGTTCATTGCGAAAGTTGCTCAAAATATTTAATTTTTTTTATTTCTCTGGTGATTTTGAGAATGTTACCAGCTTTAGAAAATTATAATTATTTTGCCTAAAAAAATATAAAATACAAAATTACAAACAATTTTAAATAACAAAAAAGTAAGAACACATCAGTAACATTTTTTTCCCAAAGAAGGCAGCACTTGATTATTTTCGCACAAATTAAAGGATTTTTCTACTTAAGCATAAAGCGGGCTATCTGTGCTGCGCCCACTGTGGTTATCGAAACTCAGTTTTTAGCGTCTGACGCGTTCAGATTAACCGCTGAGCCATCAGGGACACCCGAGTTTCTTAATTAATTAAAACCTACAGTAAGTTATCAAGTATTAATACACAACCAGAAACTGCAGTCTTCCATTTTCTATATGTTACTCATTTTATTATTCTTGTTTGTTTGAAGTTATGGACAAAGTTACACAATGGGTTATCAGTGCTCTACCCACCACGGGTATCGAAACCCGGTTTGTATGGTGTAAGTCTGCAGACATACCGCTGTACCACTGCGGGACTTTTTATGATTCTAATATTTAACCAATATAATCGTTTTTTTTTCTGTTGCTTTTTTATTTGGTTTTATGTAATAAAATTTGCTAGACATCCAAACAGTTTTAATACGTAAATTACAAGCAAGTTTGATATGTTCAACGAACCAATCAATGTGAATAAAGAAAACATAATTTTAAAGTACTGTTATTTTAATAATGGGTGTTAAGAGACAAGTGATGAAAGCTGGTTGAAACAACATATAATAACTTTTGATGAAACGTAATCTATGAGAATACTCGTATAGTGTCAAAAGCTATGCATGTTTAGAACTCACAAATACAAAACTAATGATAATGGCATTCTGGCTTCAAGTAAGGTAGTCAACCAACATCCTTTTTATCATTTTTAGGAGGAAGTTGTAACGCAAACTTACAATGATACAAATTCAAACACCTTAGAAATTCTATAGGTATGCCAAGACACTACCATTGTAACTATAGCACAACGTTTATAAGCTAAAGGTAGACAAAACTGTTGTTGTGAAACTTTCTTCAGCTTTTGACCCATAAAATGGTTCTTAATTAAAACTCTTCCAATTCTCAGCTTTTTATCATGATTATCGTCACACGAATCAAATTATATCCAATGTAAAAGACTAAATACTTACTTTCTACTGTCCACAACCTTGACAACTTTGCCGAACGTTCCTTCTCCCAAAGTGTTGATTACTTTATCTAAAAAATGACAATCAACACCATCAACGAGAACATTAAAAATATATCACTGTCTTCACTGTAACTGTGGTACAGTGAAAAAATAACTTCTTGCTCATAAAAAAAATGTGTAGATGGATGGGTTCATTTACAAATAATATAATTTATGTTGAATATGATAGGCAACAATTTACACCACACTTTCCATAAACTTCAACAGTTTTAAACATCTCAACAAATCTTGTGACAATACATAGAAACAACATTACCTCTGTCAATAGGAAACATAATTTAAAGTCCATTCCATGAAACAAATAAATATTAAAAAATCCAAATTTATTAGTTTTTAAACATGACATTGGTTGAAGTAAACTTACAAAAGATTAGATAAATTCATGATTTCTAAATGACATAAAAAAAGCTACAAAAATAGATGACCTGTTATAATTCATATGCACGAATTTCTGTGAAATATTTTGTTTTTAACACAACAACAGCATGGCGTATAAAATAAAACGTTGAGGTGGAAACTTTCGTTGACTAGTGTCCGATATGAAATGTTGTGTATTTGTGCATGCGTGGTACCACTGAATATTTCGTTTTTACAGCTGATAATCGGGAATATTTCTGGATGAAAGTAAAACACTATTACACCACAAAGTAAAGTGGCTTGTATTTAGTAACAGTAAACAAATTTCGTTCTCAAATAGTCTACTGATAAATATTATAAAAATTAACATACAATAAAGCTAGGGAGTGTAATTATTCACCTTTCTTAACAATTCCGGGTGAATTTGGATAATATTTATGTTCTAGTTTCTAGTTGATGAAAAATAAACTTGCAAATGATAGAAGACGCTATATCCAAACGCCCTGTACAGATAGCTGTGATGTAAAAACACCCAAAGGGCCCAAGCCAAACGCCATGTACAGATAGTTGTGCTGTAAAAACACCCAAAGGGTACAAGCCAAACGCCATGTACAGATAGTTGTGCTGTAAAAACACCCAAAGGGTCCAAGCCAAACGCCATGTACAGATAGTTGTGATGTAAAAACACCCAAAGGGTACAAGCCAAACGCCATGTACAGATAGCTGTGATGTAAAAACACCCAAAGGGTCCAAGCCAAACGCCATGTACAGATAATTGTGATGTAAAAACACCCAAAGGGTCCAAGCCAAACGCCATGTACAGGTAGCTGTGATGTAAAGACACCAAAAGGGTCCAAGCCATTGGAGAGATCATCGTGTGCACGTGTAGCTCTACTGTATTATTCGTCTTTAGCTTAGTCTAAGCGTTAAATTTAAGTACTTCTTGCTCTCTTAAGCATAACCTAGAAAAGGATCCCAACAGAATATTATATGTATGTCGTCGACTGAAGTAGCTTGGACTTCTATAAGAAAGCGATCATGTAATAAATAATATCAACCGCCCTAAGTCGCTGCATCATCTTACTTTTGGTATTGGATAATTGAAAAAAATTTTCTTGTATTTGTTTGTTTTTGCATGGAATTTAACTTTTTTTTCTTCTGCCAGAGATGGAAATGCTGTCCAATAAACATAGCTAACATTACTTATATATATAACTAAAACTACCAAGTCAAAATCATACATGCTATCTGTCTGCTCGTCATCAAAAGATCAGATACATTTTTATTAAGCTGCTGTTTGTCTTCTCTCTCTGTTATCTTGTCAAATTTTTAAGGTCTAAAGGTTTTATCTTTATTGCATAAAATTTTTAACACATAACAATTGGAAATTAATTAAACTTTCAAAGTTTTGTTGTACCCACACTTAATCATTTCTCTAAACAAATAAGCACATGACATAATTTTAGTTGGCAAACGGATTTATAACCATAATAAAGTGATTTATTTTAGGGGAACATACTACATGTTTCGACAGAACACTAATCTGTCTTATTGTGTTCCTTCAAAAATACATCATTTCATTATGGTTATAAATCTCTGTTTGACAACTTATAATTATCTAAACAAGATCCCATAAAGTCCATGCGCAGATTACTAAAAGCACCTGTTGGCATACTTCTTTTTGAATGCGCACACTTTAAATAGAAAGAGTTGACTTACTTTTAAAAATATGTGCGGGTCTAACTTCCATGCTTCACTTATTTGTCATACTTACATTAACATGTAGGTATAACTAGATTTATGAAAGTTTTCTTACCATAATGAATGTGATTACATCACCAAGAAGTAACGAACTGTTTCAGGAAAACGTTTATTTCTGCTTAAATATTTTCTTCTACGTTTCTTATAGCATACAATTACTGTGCCCCTCATATAATGTGTGAACTTACTCTATTTTTTTTTCAAAACAATGGTAACTTCAACTAGAACGCAGAATAAATATATATATATAATACATTAATTTAAAAAAAAAAATGATGTGTATTTCTTAACATTTACACGTATACAAATTATTTTAGTTTAAAGAAGTGAACATTTCGACATTAAAAAAAGAGTTGTGGTAGGTTAATTAAAAATTTAATTTTGAATGTGTGGTAGCTGCATATTCTTTGTATCAAACACTAGTCCAAGAAAGTTAACTCACGTAAGTAAACTGTCATTATCATTCAGTATTTATAGTGTTTACTAAACAGAAATAAATCTGATTAAAATATTCTGGCACTTGTAACTTTGTAAAACTGATAAATCAATAAAGACAACATAAAAGCATCTTTGCAATAACATAAAGAATATATTCAACACTAATTTAGTTTTGGTTGAAAGAACGGGTGATTACTATTTTATTACACTTAAGAAAATATAAGAAAAACAGAAATATGCATGTAGATCTTACAATAAAAAATATTGTTTAAAACTTAAATGGAGACGTTACGAAAAGATGAGTACATCGATCTCTCAGGATGTCTCCATGACGATAGATCAGATGTCCCTCATCATCGTCTTCGACGCTAGGAGGCCTGGAACTTTGTTCATGGGGTGACTGGCCGTTTGCAATCCGCCCAATAATCAGTCAGATCAGCCAATCCACCACGTGGAATCCATTCACAAGAAAGCCGGTCAGTGCACACAACGTGACAATCATCCACAGTTACAATGATTCAAATTCGGATGATGACGAAGTTGCAAGTGGCCACAGCATGAGTAGTTTACCGCCATTTTTCAGCACCATGGTAAATAATATAAACAAGGGAGGCATGCTCGTATGAACATCAGTGTTCAAGAATATTAACTATATAGTACGATTTTAATAAAATATGTTCAACGATTCTTTTCAATTCTTAAATTTGTTGTTTTTAATGTTCAAATTATTAAAATCTGACATCTTTTACTGCATTTAGAATACGAAATATGTTCAAGCAGTGATTCTCAAAAACAACTAAGTACAGTCTAAAATCAAGCGATCTCAGACTAATACAAACTACTAAAGAATACAAAATATATGTTAGCGAAAATAAAACTGTATATGTAACTAAGCGGTGATTTTTGATAAGCACATGAGTACAATTATTAACACATGTATATGTAAAATAAATAATAAACAAATATTTAATTCAATAAAAGTAAAATCGTATTTATAAACTGATAAGCAGTGAATACATTATTTACACAAATTAAAACAAGCAGTTAAACATTATGTAAACTTTTATAACACGAAAAATTATGGGCGTGTAAAAAATTAACAATTTAAAACATTATTGACTGAAAGATTGGAGTAAGAAAACATTTATAAGTACTCGTATTATTATTTCATCATTACGTTTCACTCTGTTAACTGGACTGAAAAAAAATGTTAGTTAAAGTGGATGTAAATATTATAGATTTTTTGAAAGTTTATTTGCAGTAAAACATTAAATATTTAACTACTCTACTAAAAACACATGCCAGCTTAAAGTAAATTATACCCCAGCTGATATGAGATGCCCACACAAAGTCAGCTTTCTTTACCCCTCCCCAAGCTTCTTGTAAAATGACACTAATGTTCTAGAACGTTTACAAGTTTCTCCTTCAGTACAATGTTGAAAATACTAAAGCTTCTAAGTTCCCAAAGTCGCTATCCTTTATGTCCTTAAACATGAACTATTTTCTGAATACTCTCTTCCACTACTTGTTTGAAACGAAAACTAATATTTAATGCTGTATCAAACAAAATATGCTTTAAGAAATACGATTTCTAAAACAGGACAAATATTCATATGTTTACATACCCTTCTAGTATATGACTGACTTTTTCACGTTTGATATTTTTTATAAATATTTTCCAAAAAAGTAAAGGTCATTTTCCTCTCTTACAAGTGCTACTGAAAATACGAATAACACAATGTACTCAAAATCAAACTTTTGACGATGACATTCACATGCATAAAATACATTTCCATATGAAACATTTTTTAGAAATATTAGATTTCAAATTATTCGTGAATTATGGCAGGTATATACACATATCCGACACGAACAGCGGCAAAATAATTATCTCACCAGGTGAGGAGTCGATAAAACAATGAAATATACAGTCAAATTTAATTAATAAACTTTCAAGGCAAAATATCATTTAAATTAATCATGCAGAAATCGTCAATCTTCTTACATGCTTGATATTTTTTACTGGTTAGCTTACAATAACACGAATGTCAAGACGAAGGTGTTAAAACATAAACAACAAATTAAGGAATGAAGTGTAAAACAAGCGAATTGTTAGTGATAGAATTTTAACATCAATCCGAGCACTACCCAGGCTAGTGGCATGTCTCTTACAAACATTTTAATTACAATTCCTTATCTTTATACATGTTACGGAGCCGATAATGAATGTTGTCGTATGTGATTGCCTGAAATAACATTAATTAAACAACAAAATGTATATGCAGAAGGTAAATTTAAATCATTATGTATGTAT